GCCGGGGGCGCACCGACACCGGATACTGAATTTCCGCGGAGAGATCGCGAGCGGTCGCCTCCGCTCCGTCTTTCCTTATTAACTCGGTAAACGAGTAATCTCGTTGCTTCGTTCGGGAAGCGACGCTGATATTCTCCCTCTACGTACCGGAATAATTCTCTTCGCGGCACAATCTTAACCTTCCTCGCAGCGACGCGCCGCCCATCCCGCGGTTAGACACATCTGAGCACGCGAAACCGCGCGTTTTTCGCGAACCCCCGGCAACCCCTTCCGAATCGAAGCTCCTCGTAAAGCGCGGGAGACACTTTAACGGCCGAGAGGAAATCAGTCGCTAAGGCAGCGGAATTATAAAATTTCATATTCAACGATAAAATATTGGAATCCAATGTAGAGAGCGTTATTGAAATTGCTCCCTTAATTTATGTATGATTTCTTTCCGCGGAAACCGCGCGGAGCGACGTTGATACTTCACCGGGTAAGTTTCGAGTCGCTACGTTTAGAAGTTTCGAACGCGGAAGATTCGGCGATGATCTAACTGGTTCCTTATTCTGTACAATTCGATTATGGAGGAAATGGAGAAGCTGGAACAGATCTACCGATAGAATGATTCCAGAGATGGGTCTCATTTATATCCTCAAATATCCATATTCCTAATTGATTTCAGTGGCTATCTTAATATACTATCCTCGTAATTACTCCTATAAACGTAGATTCTTTCTGATATCACGTTGAGTGCGATTTCGCGGAGGAAAGCGTAGAAAATGAAAATAATCTATCAATTGCTTTGCGTTATATTGCAGATATCACTGCAAATATCACTGCATTAACACTAGGTTTACGGGCATTTATTGTACACTTCATTCTACTATTCCTAAAAGAATTGATGCTCGTTTATTTAGATTGTAGAAACTGGAGATTTGATAGTAGGTAATTAGGGTACATGTCAGTATGATAGCATCAATCGAAATCGGCGTAAACATTTACAAAATAATATTTCTAAAATCCAATATGCGTCAACTTGACGCGTTCTGTAAACGTAGTGTTAACTGTTTGAAGCAACGTGACCGCGATGCTTTACTACACTTCTTAAAAGTGCCTATCGGTTCGTAGAATCAAATGAAGTATTCGTTTAATTATTTAGTGTTATTAGTACCTGCTTAGAAATGGAGAACAGAACGATCGCAGTATTTAGAATTTTTTCCAACCGAATTATTATATTGTAGTTCACTCAATTAAACGATTATTTGAAAACATTTATATATTATAAATAGTGTTGCCTAATGCGACATTCAGCTGTGTTAATATTCCTTGTAACATAGAAACCTTCCAAATAATCATTTGCTCGAATGAACTACAGTAATTCCATTTAGTTCAAGTCACCATTGACCCCATAGCATCCAACGTGTAGAGAATCTACCGATCGAAACGCAAACGATTAACGTTCGACTTTCCCTTCATTAAGATTCCCTTACACCGATGTAACAATTCCTTCGAACCAAATATCCCATCTCTCGAACCTAACCTAACCCAAACACCAAGCCAGCCGTCGCAGATCCTCGCGCAGGACCCGTTCGCCACGTTCCTGACACGCAGCACGGATCAAGCCGCTGAACCAGCGACGTTTTCGTGCTCGCCAATGGACCCGCCATGCATCTCGCCGTTGGTAAGCTCCGGCTGCGTTCCGGCAGCCTCTCCGGCAACTATGGCAATAAATCGATATAAGCCCGTAAGCCTCTTACTCGCCTAATAGCGTGATATTCCGTCCGCGAAGAATAATTTCGAGCGACGCGGACGCGGGGTGCCGTCGGGACGCAAGAACCCGTCGAGCGACGTTTCCCGCCGCGAACGAATCGGGTTTCCCGTGGGCGAATCGGGGGGTCACGGGGACGGGGGCCGGTCAAAGAGTCAAAAGGTTTTCGTAGACGGCCGCCACGGCGCGGAGAGAAGTAGCGCGCGGCGGACGAGGGCGGCATCGATCTCCACTGTCGCGGCCACGGGATCCCCTCTGAAAGATAAAGCGTACTCTGCGACGGGGGGCGGGAGGGGGCGCGACGGGGGCAATTAGTTTTTCGAGAATTTATCGAGCGACGTCGATTGTTGGCTGCGGGACTCGATGGGCACGCAGCGGCGAGCTTCGCTCGCGTAAGAAATGCATCGCGTGGAGGATTCTCTTCGAATGGACCATGGAAATCTCGGATCCTTCGTTGGTACTGTAGGATTAATTTATTAACACTACAACTACTGTACCAGTCAAAATGACTGGTTTCAACGTTTTTATTTCGTAATTATTGATATCTCAACACTAGATTTACGGACGTTTATTCTACACTTTATTCTATTATTCTTAGAAAACTACGCGTTCGTCTATATAAATCGAGAAAATTGTAGTTTAAAAACTAGAACATTACAATGCGTATTCACCTAATTGCACGAATCAAAATCGACTGAAACTATTACTGAATAATGTTTAAAAAGTTCAATATCCGTCAAATTGACGGGTTCCGTAAATCTAGTGTTAAAAGCATTGAGTATTTGAAATGATCTTGAAAGTAAATAGTTTCATTTGAGTACTATAATGAATATCTGAAGGAACTGGGAATAATCTATTGTTACAGTTTTTATTAATTGCATATTAATCGCATTAAATGCTCGGTAGTTCTAGTGTTAATTCCGTTGAGTATCGGTGTATTTTTGTATTTCTATGCTTCTCGTATATGTGCAAGTGCACCGAAGTCATTCTGTTCGATGGGGATGGGTCAGAGGACTGAGGAACAGTTGAAGGTATACTTAAAGTGATTGTACGGTTTGGTAGGTTCTTTTTGGGTTCGCGTAATCAGCGAAGCGTTTCGAGTGTTTCACGGATTAACCGAATGCGTTCAGATTAAACGTGGATAATTAGCTTGTCGATGCGACGCGGGAGTAACTTCGTTGATAGAGGAGATGGATTTTTGCTTGACTTCGGTCTCCGTAAATTACACCGTGGATACTTTATTTTACATGAACAGCCGCGGTTTGCTAGCGAGATTGGGGAACAGTCTGAAAGACAGTTCCATAAAACAGGACCGGGAAACCAGGCTGCGCGTGAATTATTGAGGGATTTAAGGGAACTGGATCTGTGTACGACGCAGCCGGGGCTCGGACCGCCAAGATCAGACACGTGGAAACTCGTGATTAAACTTGTTAACCGCGCTGTTCAACGAATTAACATATTCCGTTCGAAACGTACGAGATACCGTGGCCCAAGAATGTACAACTAAATACTTCGCTAAATAAGTGATCGCTTCGAGAACACCTTGTAAGTACTTACACTTGACACACATCAACCAACGGGGAACCGGTACACCGAATACATGAATGCATAATTCACCTCCACGGGAACGATTAATGGCGAAACAACTTTCGAGATCCAGCTGCCTAAATAAATAACGGCTGCACGGTCTGGAAAATCGTCGCGCGACGAGACCAACCGGTGAACGAAAATAATCGAAGTAAGGAATAAACAGACAACGGATTCCACGCGTTCGCGACGTTCCGAAAAACATAAGAATCCAAGATTCTCAATAAAAATTAGATTCCACTCGAATCTCGTTCCCTCCCGGCGCTTTCGCGAATTTTTATTCTGCGTTCGGATCCGCAGGCTAGTATTAACCCCGTTTCCCCAGTGCATCCGTTTAGGATATTCGCAGTAAAACATTTTACTATTAGCACTTTCCTCGGAACTCCAACGCTAAAACTGCCGAACGGTTCGACGGACTTTCTGAAATTTCTGTGTAGACACTCCGAGTGCATCTATTGGAACTTCAATTGATTTAGTATTGACTTTACTTGGACAATTTCTTTAGTCAATTCTCAGAGAAACGTCTGTTATCCTCAATAATTGCAAACAGAAGAATCAGTCGCCATTTCGACGCGTCACGCTGTCTGTGACAACCCCAAAATTCTATCTGCATAACGAAAATTGGTTCCCAATCGAAACGCAAAATATCCATTGCGCAACTTCATATCCCCATAATGTAAAGAAAAATCACCATATGGGTTGAGTACACGTTTTCTATTTCGAAATTTTGATAGTGAAACCCGTACGTCGCAGGCCGACTTAACTTTGTGCGACTAATTGGAAGTGGACTGTATTAATATTTACTTCAGTGGAAATAACTTGCTGTTTGTTAAGAGAATTCAGTAATATTCGCCAGCGGCGAGTGTCTACAACGACGTCTGTGTACTCCGTCTCGTTTATCTAGCTTGAATCTGTCTTGCACATCTATCGTCTCCGTATCTTGCGTAGGTTTTTATAAACCTTTGGGCAAGCGTGTGCAAAATTTGAAGTCTGCCTGATTCGCAGCCTTCCAAGGAAGTAGGCGCGTACAAACAAATTCCTTCGAGTGGGACTAACTTCCCCTCAACCAGTGATCCTAGAGGGGTTGCCGATCGCAGTCCCCGGGTGACCCACGCAAGGGTCCCGAGCGTTCTTGTCACTGACCATAGCGAATAATAAAACCAAGAATCGTCTCGACTTCTGGCAAACAGATGTAAGGTTAAAACTATGGTAAATCTACAAAACTGGCAAAACGTGCCGAAGCAACTGCGACTAAATTAGCGAAGTAACGGTTCCTTGGGCTTTTATTCCTGCTATGGTAAAAATACCCAGGGCTCTAATGTGCCTCGCAGGAGGTTTCGTCCATAGCCCTCTTAAAACGACTTCGCGACTCGACAATATGGTCAGCTCTATACCTTACAATTTTTACCGGAGCATCCTTTTCTATCACCAATACTTTTTAAGTAATCACTTATCTCCGCGTACCAGAAACCTCAGTTACATCGTTCCCCGTAGCCATTCCACTGAGAAACCATTCCCTTCACATTCCCGAAACAAATCGCTGAAGACAAACCGAGCGAAGCGACCCGCAAACTCCGCCGATATCCAGTCCCCGAAATGCCGGGAAATCACGTGCGCGTCGTAAAGCAAGCTCACGAAATCTGCGACACTGGTTCTGTTTCAGCATCTTCGGTCGGACCACCAGCAGGTCCTGCTGCAGGACGCGAGCCTGCACACGAGGGGGCGGTACAGGTGCGAGGTGAGCGCCGAAGGGCCGAACTTCCACTCGGTGAACGCCGAGGCCAACATGGAAGTCGTAGGTGAGAGAGAAACGCCGCTCCTTCCCCCAGGTTTCCGTCGCTCGGTCGTCTGTCCCGCTAATTAATGATCCTTTGATCGCGGCCCATCGAACGGCCGTAATTCGAGTAAAGCGGTTCCTCGTTCACGAGTTCCCACGATCCTTCGTCGGACCGACTGCGACGTTCGCCGCCGTCCGTTCCCGCAAACGTCGACGGCGTCCAGTAGGGTCGAAGATTTTCACTTGTTCGACGGTAGGATTTGTCCCGGCGACCGTCGGGTCCGTCGTCGGATTTCGCTCGGACGGTTGGAACGGAAACGGAGACGGGAGACACCGCTGTTCGATCAGCGAGCGTCAAATTTTAGCGTCGCGTAAAGACGAGCCGGAACGCGCGATAAACGTTACGGCCTCGTAAGTCTTGAGTCGTAACGCGTGCTGCGGACGGACGCAAAGCCGGGTGGGATGCGGCAAACTTGAAACGAGCGGACGTGGGAGGAGAGCCGAGAGGGTGTCGTGAGACGGCTCGGACCGTAAAACCGTCGCGACGGGACCGACGTCGCGGACAGGCCGCGGGGACGATGGATCGCAGGCTGCCCGCGATCCTTCTGCGTCGCGGAAAGGCTGTACGTTGTCGTTTAGATGATTGTATGGAATAGTCGAGGCTGAACTTGAATTTGAATCATCCTGTAGAGATTATAGAGATCATCGAATGTTTAGAATTCTGGTTCATTCGAATAGAAGACTAGACAAATGATTTCATCGATCTTTTGCGTTCGCGGAAAGGCTGAACGTTGTCGTTTAGATGATCCTACGGAATTATACAAGTTGTACCGTGATTTTGAAACACCCTGTATAGATTATAAAGACCATCAAATGTTTACAACACTGGTTCATTCGAAGGCAATAGAGAAATAGTTTCATTCGTGAAACGGGATGAGTGACTAACTAAACGAAAATGTTACGAGCAAATAGCCGAGTAAAGGAACACATCAGAAGTAATTAAGTAAATAAATAAATTCTAAATCGTTGCACGCGTGAACACGTCTATCTACCACGAGAGATCTCCGCGCGACTCGCAGCGAGTAATATTTTACGACCGCCGCTGAAACGCTGTCCCGTAACACTGAAAATACCTCCGAAGTAGACTGTCATCTTAATTGATTCCCCCGGTAATGTCGGTTCGGCTCGACTCTAAGAAACGCGTTACAGTCGATTCTTAACACTGTCTTTCCTTTCTCGCAGTCTGGCCGCGTTCTCGAGGCATGTACG